GCCACTCGGTAATCTGCAGCATGGCCTCCCGTGCCTGGCTTACGGTGAATGGAATGCACTGCGGAGGCGAGAGATGGTCTCAGCCCAGCAGGCAGGGGTCAGGGAGAGAGGAGATGGGTCTAGAGGACGGGGATCCAGGCCTACCTGCCGGCTCAGGTAGACTCTGAAGGCGGAGTCCATGACTCGCTCCAGCAGACCGACCAAGATGTCACCCACCATGTCCACACCCTCTTCGCGAGCTATGAGCTCCATTCACTCCATCTCAGTGAGCCATCCAGGCACAGTGTCCACCTGCGGCACCATAACCATAGGCTTTTCTGCCTTGGATCGGGTCACTCTGCGGTCTTGGGCCTGCCTCTCCTGCAAGTCAGGGCTAGAGATCGAGGAGTGGAAAAGGAGGAAGCTTCCTCAAGCTGTCTAATAGGAAGGATAAACCTTTTGAAAGGGACAATTTACTAAGAGCCTACTATGGGACAGCTGCTTTTCGGGTATGTGGCCTAGCTAATTTAATTTTTGTAACAGCTCACTAAGCCCATTTTACAGACAAACTGAAACTCGACAGCAGTTAACCTACATTTGCTTGAGATTACACCCTGAACCCAAGCTATGTATAGTTCTAACCGCAGAGTCCTTGTTATTTGCACTAGTTTCAAGTGTTCAAAACTCTTGAGAGTTCAAAGAACTTGAGAAAGATGAGTCAACAGTGCTGGAATTATTAATGTAGCCACTCTCTGGGCTTCTGCTCAGCTTTCAGATGTGTACAGAGGTGTCTACTTGCACCCAGTCCTGCAGCTCCCCAGCTTGCTGCATAAATGACACGAGGTTTCCTAGGGGAATCACACACCCCCAACACCCTCCTTCCCAGCCCCCCAGAGAGAGAGTGCTCCTTTCTGCCCACTCTCCTGCCTGATCCTCCTCTCTTCTGGCCATACCTCTCCCTCCTCCACCCAGATCTTGCTTTTTCAATAGTTGGATCCCTAGGTGATTCAGGGCTCCTCTTCCTTCTCCCTTCTCAGTGCCCCTAACTTGCACTCTGAGGGGACCACTTGCAGTAGGCTGAATCATGCAGACAGGCTGAGCCACCAGGTGGCAACACACACTACCATAAAGGGGCAGCCAGGTGGAGTTCTCCTCTAGGGGAGGAGAAGTGCAGGGTGAGGGTGGGGAGAGTGAAGGAGACCATCCAACAGCCCCTCTTCTCACCATCCGGCATCCCCCACATACACACATACTCACCATGGCTGGCGAGGGTGAGGTCATGGGTATGGAACCCATCTTGCACTGCTGCCAGGGTGAGAGTGGTATGAGCCAAGAGGTGGTAACGAGGAACTCTGCTGGACAGAGAAGTGCATGGATGGCAGAAGCTTTATGGGCCTCCATGATTCAGGCTGCCCTACAGAAAACCAGATTGCTTCCCCCGCAGGGGTTGGAACAAACATTTACTGCACTCCTGCTAAGTGCTGGACCGTATGTTTTAAATGTCATACCACTGTATTCCCACGACAGCCCTGTGGGGTAGCATTCTTTAATTAATAGATGAGGCCACTTGAGGCTTAACGAGGTTAAGAAATCTGCCCTTAAATAGAGGTTAGGTGATACAGTTGGAATATTTTGAGATAACTCACATACAAAAAGTCTCAAGCCTGTAAGTGGCAGGACCAGAATTCAAACCAAAAATAAATAAATAAATAAACCTACCAAACTCAGTCTTTTAAATATTTACATGTATCAAGTACATTTCTTGAAACACATAAGATCTTCCTGTCTGGTACCTCTGATCTCTCTTCTTCATATCTTATGCTTCTATAATTAGGGCAGCATTCCTTATCATACTTGCCAGGGTCCTCTGAATAATGAGTTTTCAAATCCTGCTGCCTATGTTCAAATCCTGATTCCTTCCACATAACTGAACTTCAGATGTTACAGTTAACTGAGTTTGAGACATCAGCTGAATTATCCTTGTGCCTCATTAGCTCATCTTAATAACTAAGTTTGTTGTAAGGATTAAATCGTCTCACGGCCTTTAGCGTAGGATCTGGTAAACAAAACCTCAAGTAGCTTTTGTTTTGTTCTTTTTAAACAGTATTCTCACATTCACAGACCTTTTAAATGAATTACTGGAAAATTAACAGACCTTCCATTGCACATTCTTAATAAAGCAGTGGAGAGAGTTCAACTTTGCTTTCTCAAGTTATTATCGCTTTAGTTTAGGCTATTTTGGAAGGATGAGCTTATTAAGAAATGAGTTGGTTATGTAAATTATATAAATCAGTAGCTTAAATGTGTAAAGTAATGTTTTGTAAACCTGACAAGTGAATATTTCAGAAAAGCTAAATTGAACAGTTTATAGTAACAACTAATACTGATTTAACACAATATGACTGAGAAAGGGACCCCTCCAAGTGTTTTATAGGTATTAACTAATTTTATACTTAGCATAAGCCTGTGAGGTTCATACTATAATTATGCTCATTTTAAGGTAAGGAAACCAAGGTACATAAATGTGAAGTTATTTGACCTTGGTCATTCATCTCATAAATGGCAGTGCTGGGAATTCTAGATCAAGTCTTCTGGCTTCACTATTTGTGCTCCTAACCACTGTGCTAATATTAACTGTTCTCAACAACACTGTATCTTAAATACTGGATATATGGACTAAAAATAATTAAAAGTTTTCTATATCGCTCAGGGTCTTATAAACATCAGTTACTGTCCTGAGATTTAACCCAAGACAGTATTAATCTAGAGATAACTACATCTTTAATGGAAAGGGTTATAGCTAGAATCCTACCAACCATCTTACATGACCTTTGCCTTTTCTCTAAGATAAGATAATGTGCCTTTGAAAACAAGAATCAGATATACAATATTTAAGACCAGGGGATTAAAAAAAATATTTAGGTAGATGGCCTGGATGTTATGGTAAACCAGAGGACTCCTTCCTTTCTGTCTCCACTACAAAGCTTCTTGTTTCCCTCACTCAACAGATTCATTAATATTGGCTCTCATTTCTTGGAAAAATGTATCTCAAACAAGAACAACTCTTGGAAGGTCTTATTCAAATAAATGGCAATGAGCAAAAAGAATGAAAATATGTAAAAAGGGGGGGAAATATATGAATGATATATATTCAAAACTAAAAGACATCTTAAAATATTTGAGTAAAAAAGATTGTACACATTTGAAATTTCTTATATATCATGCAAAGTTATTACATCTAGTATTACAGCCAGATTGGGATTTTGCCTTTAGCTTTTATCCTTCAAATGTTCCAACTCTTTGAGGAGTAAGTGCAAAATTTGAAAGAATTTCTACTCTGGAATCTCTATTTTTCCTATAATATACTCATCCAAATTGATGTGTTTGCTAATTTCCATTTCCTTTCAGAAGGAATTTTTGTGGATATGTGTCTCCAAATATTTTTAATTTGTTATTTCTAATTTGCCAGGCTCTGGCAAGTGGAGGATAAATAAGTTGGGGGGGTGTATAATTGTGACTAGAGTAGGGTTAAGTTCTTACACTTGTCTGCAAATTTTCTCATCTGTGTTCTGTATAGCTAAGGTTATCTCCTAGGTAACTACCAGGTAACTGATGTTTCACTAACAAACTTTAAACATTCCTAAAACATTGAGTTTTTAACAGCATCTAAACAGAAGACAATTCTCTACCAGAAATTCTAAAGTTTATTTCCTTTGAGCTTCCAATCCCTATAGTTTTACTAAACTTCTCATGATTTTCAAGACTCCCAGTCTTGGTTGTCATTATTTAGTCTCTTATGTTAGCATTAAAAATCATACACACACACACATATATATATATATATATATATATATACACACACACACACACACACAAAGACACATATGTGTATATATGTATATATGTATGTATATAGATATTTAAAATAAATATATATATTTAAAATATCTAATGTGATATATATTTAAAAGGAAAGTGATCTTGGTTTATTTCTGTCTGCTTACTTGCAGTTAAAAAAACACACTAGGAATTATTTAGATTCATGAAACCACTTCTCAAACTTCAGTCTACAAGGTGCCAATTGATGAATACAAAGTTATTAATTTGTATTTTGTAAATAATTTGTAAATTATTAATTTTTGATATTTGAATATCAAAAATATGAAAAATTTGTATTTAAAGAAAATTACATGAGTTGTTCTTCAGGAAACAAACTAGTACAATTTGTTGTAGTTTGTATTTATGCTTATAAAATAACATTTTGAAATTTTATTTTATTACTAGCAACATTGTCCTTATTAAGCTTAGTTTTAAATTGGTAAAAAAGACAAATTATTCTTTTAAACCAAAGGATTTAATGGGAAAATACTCAAGATTCATAGTTATCTGAAAGTCACAACTAACTTTCTGTCCTCTTCTTCTTCATTAATTGCACTAGCATTCAGCAAAGTATCACAGAAGTAGTGATATAGATACTAATTTTCCTCTGAATCTAGTTTCAACAAGGGGAGAGGTCTCCCACACAAGTAAGCAGTGCTCTGACACCAGCCGGATGTCCTACAGTTCAGCTCAATTTTGATAGTATCCAGGAGATAGCATCAGATTCCTCTGGTTAAGGAGTCATTCTTGACTGCCCTCTCCCCTCACTTCAGAAGCCAGCCACAAGCCCAGGTCACTGGTGCTTCTGACCAACTGGCTATAAGAGGTCCCCAGGACCTCCTCCCTGGGTTTGATTAGTTTTCTAGAGCAGCTCACAATTTAGAGAAGCATTTTATGGAAGAGATGCATAGGGCAGGGAATGGAGAAGGGCAAGGAACTTCAATGCTCTCTCCCAGCACACCACTCTTACCAAATCTCCAAGTGTTCATCACCTAGAAGTTCTTCAGATCATGTCTTTTACGTTTTTATGGAGGCTTCATTACATAGGCATCATTAGTTATTGGCCCTTGGCAATTGAAATCTATCTCCAGCCCCTCTTCTCTTCCAGGAAGTGGGGAGAGAGGGTGGGACTGAAAGTTCCAACCCTTTAATCACGTTGTTGGTTCTCCTGGCAACTAGGCCCTCAGTTTAAGTTACCAAAGAGCTTTCCAAAAGTTATCTCATTAACATAACAAAAGATACTTATTTAGATCTATCACAGGAAATTCCAAGAGCTTTAGGAGCCTTGAACCAGGGACCATGAACAAGTGCCAAATATATCTGAGAAATATATTTTGGTCTCTGAATGACCAAATATATATTTCTTATAAATCACAATATCACTGACATAGAGAGAAAGCCCACATCAGATATGTAAAACTGGCACAAAAGCTCAGTTTCCATGAGGGAACATTTTTCAATGAATTTAATATAAATCCATAGTCAATAACCTAACACCTATATTGTTGAAATTTTATATGATGTAAAAACTAAAACAGAAACCTCAATTAAAATAGAGTCAGGGCTCTGAAGCCCTGTGACCATAGCCGAGCCCCACAAGAAAAAGAAAGCCGCCTTCTTGTTTTCAGACAAGAGTTCAGCTAATGAGAAACTGTCACAACTCAGCCAACCAAAAGTTACTCCACTTCAAGCTCTCAATTTCTCTAACTGACTCTGTTTACCATGGCCCTCCCAACTTCCTTTTCCCCTCTTTAAAAAGGGGGTTTACTCTCCTATCGTGCCAGGACTTGCATGTGGCTTGGCATGGTTGCAAAGCCCGAATTGCAATTCTTTGCTGATTCCAGATAAAGCCATTTTTGCTAGAAAAATAACTGGCAATTTTGTATACAGAACTGGCAATATGATTTTCAGGTCAGGCAAAATGGAAATGTGGGTCACTTTATTCAAAAATTATTAAAAATTCTAAGGCAACAACAGTAGAGCATTAGACCAAGTACAGGGTCCTTCTAAACGTAGGGTCCTTGTAACTACATGTCACATGCGCTCAAAGCCTGCTTGTACATGAGGTTTAAAGTAGGTAGACATAAAATTATCCAGTAATGTGATCCTATTTCCTGTGACACACTAGAATAAGTTTAATTATATTCAATTAATGTTAAAAACCACTTGTTAGCAGTCAGACAGTATATCATCAAATAACTTTAACCATGACCATCTCCTTTAGGTATCAGTGTAAGTCTTCAGTTACAAAGGCATAGAGAGAGCCTTCTGTTACAGCTGAGAATGCAAGGATAGAACTAGAATATAAATAAAACATGGCAAAGATCAAATTGACCAGACATACATACATTGGAAATGTAATTGTATTTTCTAAGAAAAATACGTATCAAATGAGTGTCTCAAAATACTGCCTTTGAACAGCTCTATCCTATTGACTTGGAACTATAGCATTGAATTTAAATTATATGTAGCCATAAACATATTTAAAGGTGTTCTGTCCTTTAAATATTATATTTCCTTATTTGTTACTCAGTATTTCATGATGTCAGAATGGCGTATTGTGGAACTAACGGTCTTAAAACTGTATTTACCCATACTAAATCCCATTCTGATTCCATATACCTGTGTTTACTTGCTGTGCTGATCTTACATTCAGCAGCAGCTTTGTCATCAATCCCCTGTATTACTCTGCCAGACTGCTCCACCTCTGACGTTAGATTCTGCATGAAGTAACTTACAAAACAAAGAAATAGAACAAAAAAACTATTATTTTATAGTTATTTCTTCAGAATCTCTCTATCTTTTAGAATTCTGTCTGTAAAGTCCTGATAGATATTAAGGAGCAATATTAGCTTCAAATAGATTTTTTTCTGTTAAGAGTTATGAGAAGAATTCAAACAACAACACGCTTATTCCACTAAAAGAGTATACACAACCAGCCAAGTAGTGAGAACATTCTAGCATCCTAGCACAGATGATCTCCCCTTGTTAATCTGTTTCGTGCTAATTTACTTGCAAAATAGGCAGATAAAAAGGAACCCATATGAGTGATTTTATATTTTTTGCATCCTGGTCATAGAATTTCTAGTTAACTGTCTTTTATTTTAAAACCCTTTATTTTTCTTAAAATAAATTCGCAATCAATGTACAAAACCCAGATATATGATGGAAATATTGGAAAACAGAAATAAGTAAAATAAGAAGAGACATCCATTGTTTCATTAACCATATGTTTCAATAATTATTACCTGATATATATTCTAACAGAATGTGTGCTGTGCATATTGGAGTAAAAAACTATACTGTTTGAAAACATGTTTTAACCTTATAATACATAGTGTTTATCCTTAAAATTAAGTGTTCATTTAGCATATAATTAAATGGCTGCATACATAAATGCATTAAGTTTACTTAACATATCTTAAATTATTTGATGTTTATGTGTATACATATGTGAAAGGATACAGCTAATTCTTTGTTAAGAAATGCAAGTATATCTTTAGAGTGTCTTCAAAGAGTAAAAATCTGGAGCAAAGATACACATATTTTTTACATATTTTTCAAGTTTTCAAAACATATTATCCAATTGATCTCCAACATAAGTTTCAATTTTTTTCTTCTTAACAAAATTATTGAAATTAAATATTTTGCATACAATCTATCAATATTGTATATTATTATCATTTTATATAAATGCCCCTATTAAACTTATAAAAAACCTATGTGATAGGTATTATTTTACTTCCCTTTTATAAAAGTACAGCACAGAAAGTTTGAACAATTTGCTTCTGGTTATGTTGTATTGTAGTTGGAAAGTGAGTGACCTGTGATTTGAGTCAATGCAGGCTCAATCCAGTCTATACACATACATACTTAGGCATGTTTATAATACATTGAAATTTTATATATTAAGATCATGAAAACATTTTAATAAGACACAAACAAGTTGATGTCAAAGCTACCAGAAATCATTGAACATTATTCTTCATGACTAGTGCTTTTACTTCCAAACTAATTCAGCCTCTCTGAAAGAGAAAGCAAGTATGTTGCTACTAGCTAGTCATTATACTAAATGTCTAAGTGTTTAAATGTCTTTTAAAGGTTTTGTGATCTAAAGCTTAGGAAGTGTGCTATGATGAAAGACAAATGGTGGAACATTATTACTAATAGGAATAAAATGTTTTTTCTACTCTCATCAAGTTTAAGTGGGCATTTCTTTCCTCTTGCAAGGCATTTATCTCCCTCAATTTTTATTATATTGTTATCTGTGTCCAGGTGTTTCTTCTCCACTACACTGAAAACTACTTAATGGTTTAGAACCATTTGTGCTGATCATTGGATCCCCAATCCTAGTAGACTTCCTGTTACACATTCATGTTTGCATTTATTGATTCAGTAAAGATTTATTTAACACATATTATTTGATTACCAAATGTATGGGACTGGGGATTTAATAGAGTATAAAACAGACAGGCTTTGTGAACTTGCTGGCCTTGTACTTTAGAAGAAATGACATATCAACTAATAAATAGTCGAGATACCTAAGTATATTCTTAGAATGTACCAAATTGACTCACCAAGCATGTTGTGAATGAAATAAATTAGGGAAAATCCTAGGTGTGGTGAAAGCTTGTTGAGCAGATGTCCAGACTCAGGGTTGATCTGATATGCAGTCTTGTGGCCATATATGCTGGGGAAACGATAGTGAGAAGGTGGAGGGGGGCTGTATTAAATGGCACAGTCAAGAAAAGCTTCTCTGAAATATAGATTTAAGAGTCCTGTGGCATGATAAGTAGCTCACTTGAGAAAAAAAAAAGGTAAGAACGGCCTGCTGCAAGGGACTAGAAAGCACAAAAGTCCCGAGGCATGAGAGAGCTTGATGTAATTTGGAAAGAATAGGAGAAGACAAAAGAGACTGTAAAGTAGTAAACATTTAAGCTAGATGGGAGGTTCCTGACTAAAAGGTTGGAAATGAAGGCCGAAACAGGTTCTTTCAGGTATTGCAGGCTAAGGAATTTAGAGCCTAACAAAAGTTAAAAAAAAAAAAAGAAAGAAAGAAAAGTTTTAAGCAGTGACACAAGCCTCAGGATCTAATTTACAAATTTTTAAAACTTCACTCTGACCTCTCCATTTGAATGGGTTGGAGGGAATATTTGTTGAAAAGAAGGAGACCATTTGAGAGGTAGTTACTCTCAACTAGGCTGATGTGATGGCAGTTTGAACTAAGATGGAAATAGTGGAGGTGCTACTGGAGAGGAAGAAAACTTTCCTCTATGCTTCTAGGTTCGTCTGGCTAGTCTAAGAATTAAATTAACATGAGAAAGAGTAACTTTATTCATTGAATTAAATCAAATTTAATTTAGTACATATGGTATCCCCACTAAGTGAGAAGTTTAAAGTCAGAAAGGTAAAAATGAGGTACATATGATATCCTGAGCTAAGGAGTAAGACAGGGGTCTGGGTGTTCTGAGGGCATGGAGGGTCATTCATAAAACAAGAAGAGGAACATGTTTGGTAATTAGATGTTTGCCCTGCCATACAGATGGAGCCACTTAGCTAAAATTTATTTCTGGTAATAACTCTCTTTGGGGGAAAAATCCCCCATTTAAATTCTTTTAGGTAGTTAAGGGAGGAGCAGTAGTTTTTCTTGAGCCTGTGGGATCTCCACTGCCTTTAATACAAAATAATTCACATGCCCAAATAATACATCTTGTGTTGGCCTGTTCTGAAACCCATAGTGGCATAAAGGAGTGTATTTGAGATATATTTTGGAGTTAGAAATGATAGAATTCTATGAAGATTAAGTGGTTCTTTTGTTCTCTGTAAATTTTGAGTTCCTGAAAGGACTATTTTTAAACTGTCTTTTAATGCCTTATGTCTACAACAGAGCCTGACCAAAATGCTCAAAGACTGTTAAAAGAAAAAAAAATGTTTCCTGTGGATAGTAAATATCAAAACTGATATTTAACTAAAGCTTCTCCTTGGCCCATACATACCTATCTTAGCTTTCATTCCTAAACCAGCACATTCCATTCTCTTACTTCCATTTCTGATAATAATCTTAATTTAATTCCAACAGAAAAATTTAAGGAATTTCTGTGTTTTGGACATTAAGTTCTATATTGGAACTCAAAAATAAATAAATCATGTGCCCTTTTTCTCAAGGACTTCATAATTCACAGGGAAACAAAACTTACAAATTTTAATTGCGTATAATTCTGATTTCCTTTAATATTGGCTTATTGCAAACCAAAATTTTCTCAGAAAGGTTGAACATTAAAAAAAGAAAAAAATCTATTTGAAGGTACCAAAATAGAACTTGCTGAGATAAAATTCTGGAAGGGAGGAAATTCCAGAGACAGAACCTAATATTTGATGTTACTTTTTCTTTAGAGGTATTGGTCTATTCAAAAGCCATGATTAATGTGCTGAGAAGCTTGACAGTAAGAAGTAGCAGCTGAGATGCTGAGAACCAGAGCAGCCTGAGCAGAATTTCTGACAGTTTCATGCATCTGGAGCAACAGAACTTTGAATTTAGTTTCTGCCAAAGAGAAGCTCTGATAAACATCTCATTCTTTCAATTGTGATTGTGAAATGACACATACTATAAGTAAATGTGATGCAGAAATTGGACAGTATAAATTAATCCTAAATATGAAACAAATCACCCCAGATATTGGTAGCTTAAAATAGCAATCACTATGTAGGTTGGCAGCTTGAGCTGGTTTTGCCTTGGTTCATTGCAGTAAGTGGACATTTTGACTAGGGTGCATCACCTTCATTCATATCACTGATGTTTTGTAGGCTGACTATCAGCCAGACTGAGTGATTTTCCAGAAGTCTTCTCTAATAGGCTACTCAAGCCTTCAGCCAAATTCAGAGCAATTATGCCCAGCAACCCAATACCCAGGTGTCATGTGGACATAGTGTAACTCCCTTTGAGGGGATCACATGTGTCATCATTGGGGATCAGAGACTGAAACTAAGGCATGTCTTCCTGCTGACCCTGGTTGGCCTTCCCATAGAATCAGATGCCTGGGGACAGTGGGAGCCATGGCCATCTTGCCCATTGTCTCCTCAGTAGCACTGTCCTCTTGACACCTGTACAAAGCAGTAGACACTGCACCAGGACTTTGCCCTCCTTGCTGACTTCCAGGGTCAACAGTAATGTTCTCTAGCATCACTTTCAGTTTGTGAGCCAAGAAGCAAGACCAGGAAATAATGAAATGAGGATGCAGGATCTGAGTTCAGGAAGAGGCACTGAGGATGCTCGAGTGTGAACAGGTCCCAGAGTAGGTACATGACTGGTATCTTGACCTCTTCCAGTCAGCTAGTTTCTCTGAAGTGGGCTGCGGAGCCCTGTGAACTTTTCACAGATCAGGAACCCCATTATTGGGAAGTCCTGTGAATTGCTGGCAAGAACAGGAAACACCCACCATCTGACCTCTCCTCCCGACTCTGTGAGGCAAACCTTGAGTAATTTCTTATCAACAGAGGCTCCAAAGGCTCTCCTACCCATATCAGAACAGAACACCAGCTGCCCCAGTCATCTGGTGGTACCCTATGGGAATCCTTCATGCTTTTAGCTCTCGCCCAGCAGGAAGTCTGAAAACTCCTCCTTTTTGGCCGAAAACTCCACCTCATAGAGCTGTGCCACTCCCTAAGGGACCAAGTTGGGCAGGAACTAATGTGGCTAAGCTGGTCTGGCCCAGAGGCGGCCCTGTAT